AGGAAGGGAGGAAGGGAGGAAGGGAGGAAGGGAGGAAGGGAGGAAGGGAGGAAGGGAGGAAGGGAGGAAGGGAGGAAGGGAGAAAGGAAGGAGGGAACCTTTGGTGCCGACAGAGCCTGACTTCCCATGGTAAACCATCACACTGGAGTCACCTCGACCATGACACCCAAGACCCCACGCTCCCCCTTGGTCTTTTCTCAGGGTCAGAAATCATGTCACATGCAGACTGGATGCTGTTGGGGTCCTGGGGGTGCCAGAATGCAGCTTATAAAACACAATTTCACACAAAAATGAAGCCAATTAAGGGGACCAGGCTGGAGACGGCCCCCCTCACTCACCCTGGCAGCTAAGGGACAGCAGGGCTGCTACCTGCTGTAAGTAATGTAATTAACCCCTTTGGACAGAAATCAATGCACTTTGCAAAGCCCCCTGCACCCGCCAAGGGCCCTGAGGAGGGGCCGGGGCAGCCCCCCTTTCAGGGACAGCAGGTCCCCTCCCAGAGGGGCCACCACCTCCCACAAGTCAGCGGCCAGATGGACTCAGGCCAAAGAGAGGAAAGTGGAAGGGTCTTGGAGAAGAGCATCGGTCCCTTCACCCGGGGCTCCAAGGACAGTCAGTGTGGGAGCTCAATCCAGGGCCCGCTTTCTCCCGTGTCTGGGCTGAACTCTTGCCCCGGCCTGGGCCAAATGGGGGTTTGGAATTCGGTTGGGCTGTTCTTGGATTTGGGGTTCTGCTCAGCAAACATAACCAAGATCCCCAAGAACACCGCTCTCCTCGGGTAGGAGATGAAAGCCTGGGGAGCCCGGGAAGGGCAAGTTTAACAAACAACTCCAGAGCGGGGGAGGGAAAAAAAGACTCCTTCACGGATTCCTGGTTCCACACCTATTTGGAAATCCTCTATCGGGGTCTGGGCAGGGCAGGGCGCCTCCTGCACAGTCTCCGGCTTGATCCCAGCCACGCCAGCTTCTCCTCGTAAAAGTCGGTCATAATTTCCTGCCCCCCGTGGGGGTTGCTACTTCCCGTAAGGCAGCGGGGGGCCCGGGCCCCCCCCAGCCGGCGCGGGAAGTGCGCCCAGGGCGAGGGGTGGGGCAGGGGCTGCGGGACCCTGGGAGGCCCTGGCGAGGTCTGCGGACATTGCGCCTCGATTCCTCCTCGCGCCCCCGGTTTAGAGGACGCCTCGAGCACCGTCGCGCGGCCTGGGCCGTCCTGACCTTCCGCCTGGGAGCCCCGGGACCTTCCCCAAGGGGGCTCCTCCCGCCGCCCCGCGCGCTAGTCTTCGTGGCATGCCTTCTCTCGCCTTTCACGCAATGGCCCCGAGTGCGCCCTAAAAGTCGTCTGCCTCGCCCGCGGCCCAGAAGATGAGCTCGAGTCCCCTCTCGGAACCCCAAACTCCATTCAGAGCAAAGGGGCCGACCCCTGGCCGAGCGCTGCGCTCCGCGCTGCTGGGCACACGCAACCCGCCCTTCGTTCCGCTCCACCGGCCACGCACCCGGCTGCCGTGCGCGCGGCGGGACGGACTCCGCCGGGGCCCAGGAGCTGGACTGTGGGTTCAAGGCCCTCGATTCTCCGCCAGGACGACGGCGGCAACCTTGTCCCAGACTCGGCCCGAACCCCCCACAGGGAAGGAGAGGGGACGCGTGGCTTTACCCAGGGGCAGCGACCTGCATCTCTGGAGAGCGTACGCGGCTCAGGGTCTCCTGAGACCTGAGTTTTGGAGGCCAAGATCCTGGGCCTACGGGTTTGCCCTTAAAGGGCAGAGGTCACCTTTCCTCCTGACCCTATTAAGCTGGTCGAGAAGCCCCCTTGGTCTGTAAGGTTCAGTGTCCGGCTTTGGGCACTGTCGAGAGCGCCCCAGGGCTCAAGGACTCAGCGTCTTCCTGGGGGTGGGGGCGGCGCTCGGAGCGCGGCACCACCCAGCCCTGAGC